TAAGGGCGGCTTAAATAGGGGCTGTCAAACGCCTTTGTACGCAGCAACGGCCAATGTAAAAATCATTGATATTCAAGTATTACGTAAACAGGGTGGATAGGAACAGAGATATGTCACTTAACAAGCATATTTCTATAAAAATTCATGCTTCAATAAGTTTAGACGATAAGAAATCACAATGGAATACACATAACCTAAAAATATGCGAAAAAAGGACGCAACAATAAAGGCATAAAGATAGTCTTGTTTATTAATTTCATGGACAACGTCGCGGACAAAAACTAGTTATCATATAAATCAATACAACAAACATTTCGTTGTAACCTCAATGAATAAAATAAAGTGTAACGGGACAATAACATAACCTTGACATTAAAAAAGCTGAGAAACGTGCACCCTTTGTATCCCGCAGTGGGAAGGGTGTAGGACTCCGCCCCTAGGGCTCCAGGGCGTCCCACCCCGCGGATATCGGATTAAAAATCAATTCAATGGCTATAATACACGCTCAACGAAATGGCGGGATATTAAATAATATAACTGCCGAAATTCGTGCGAGTCAAGGAAGGATAAATATAAAATATCAAGGTTCTAATATCGAAACTAAATATATTTTTATCACTTTTTAGTATATTTGTACAAGAGTAGATTTCGAGGAAGGAAACTGTTGTACAATGTGTAAGGAAAATATCAGATTTTTTTATCTGTAAATACGACAACATGCATTCTCTGTACTGTAAACAGTCGCATAAAATTCAACGTGATTCGATTCGAAAATCTTATAAAATCGATCAATATAATAAAAGCGTCATAAAATAATGTGTTAAACAAATAAATGTAATATTATAGTTGCAAATATCTTAAAAGAAGTCACTAACGGAGTTTGCGAGAACGTGAGAAATGCAAAAGTAGGCGATCGAAAACGGCGCGTGAAATTATACGACCTGCGAATTTCCATTAAAACTGTTTCGTCCCGAAATATGCGAAATACGTTTCTGTTAACGCAATAAATCGAATTTTAATTTATTTAAAAAACACAAACTTAATATGATATTCTATACCGTTATTTGTTTTAAAATTACCGGAACGTCTGGTTTTTTTATAAAAACTAAGTTTTAGTATGCCTTTTTAAAATTGGTCTATTGATTTTTTATTCATTTATTATTATGCGAATTATTCAAAGTTAGTTTTTAATTAGAATCGATAGCAGTGTTTGTTGAAATTATGGCAACATTCTGTCACTTTTTTTAGTCTCTAGAAATCAATAGAATCTTTTAGATAAAACATTTTAGGCTAAAAGTTGTTTTAATCAAATAACTTATGGTAATGTGTATTTTTACTTTTTTTTTTAAATAAATCAAACCCTCGGTTATTTTTAGCGTTTTCCAACTCGTTCATGTTTGTTATTTATTTCATAAATATTTGCAACGTGCCAGCATCCGATTGAATTAAAAAACAAACTATTTTAGGTTTTTTGTTTTCTATTTATGGTCAAGTCAACAATATGCACTTTTTATGAAAGCTTCTAATTTTATCAGTATATTAATTGTAATTTGTATTTTCGTCCGATATAACATAGAAACCTAACAATAACGACCTTTTCTAAAATCTAATCATAATAAAAACCTAATAAGTTTAACAAATTAGTAGAAATGGCGACAAAACTGCCATCTGGTTAATAGGTGATTAAAAATACGTTGTGTTTACTTTTAGATCATGAATTTATTTGCCAGCAATTTATTGCGTGCCACCATTCATTATCTGAATTATATCCCTTTAAATTGCGTTATAATATCAATAAAATACCATAAAATCTGTTTGACTACTTTATTTAATGTGTTACGAGTCACGTACAAAAAAATCGCTACAGAATTTAAAATTGAAGGGGACTATACAAATAAAAACTTATCTCCAACGACTATTTCTAACAAATAGACCCTAAATAGGGCGTTACAAAGACCTAAATAACCCTCATCTAGTTAGGCATAGTTTGCCCTATATTCTAGGCTGTTAGAATAAAAGATGGCGGCTATTTGCAATTTTACATCGCCGCTGAGAAGCAAGGGGCGACGGTTTCCGGACTATTCAGCCAGGACTAGTTTCAACGGCCGTGTATTGTGCCGCTTGGACCCCTCCGGCCCAAGGCCACGAGGACCGCGGGCCCAAGGTCACGCAGGTAATGTTATGAACAACCAAATTTATAACTTTAAATAACTGTTAAATACTTTTGACACGCGTATACGAATATCTTCAGGGTTGCCAGGTGAAATAAACCGTTATGTTTTTTAATCTACATATGAATGACACGTGTATGAAAAGAATACTCCTTTGTACGAGTAATTTTTGCTTGTTGATTCTCGTTCCAAGAAGCAAACCTTTATCCGCAAAATATTTTATTATCAATTTTTCTTGCAGTATGTTAAATGAATCTGGTATTTCTAATATGAAACATAGAAAATAAATACAAAACTATAATCCGAGTTGCCACATCATTTGTTATATGCCAACAAGTTTTCTTTCCGGTGTAAAGTGCGTGTTCTTTCAATTGTAAAACATATAATATCTCTTTTAAATATTTCCACTAATCCCTAAATTCTTTCGATATTGTAGACTTTCTTGTAATGGAAGAGAACTTAAATAGAACAAGATAAGACAAGATGATGACAATATATAGATTTACTAATAGTCACCATCGGTGCTGTTCGTGCGAAATTAAAAAAAAAAATTAGTAGCCTATGTATTCTTCCACACTATGCTCTACATCTATGCCAAATTATGAAAATCCGTTCAGTCTAACAAATATCAGTCCAAACATAAAAACGCATTTATAATATTCGTAAGATTTATTCCGAAAATTAAACAACGGATGTACAATATACATAATAATACAGATAACATCCGTACAAGTAAAATCCCGCGCAAAACTGACAGCGCGAAAGCTTCTAAAGGCCAGCTGCGTAAAGAAGCTCAGAGACGAAGACGTGGTGAATAGCGCCCGCACACCTGCGCCTCTCCACACTTACACAACAGTACACACGATCCCGAGTTATTCATCATGAATACTCGATCAATGAGGGTTGCCATGTTGGAGGATTTACCATCTGTGTTGCACCCAAGGTTAACGATAGAATTTGCTAACAAATGTAGCAATTAAAAACATAGACGAATTGAGAACCCGCTCTTTTTAACAATTAAAAATAAAGAATATTGAGAAAACTATTTTAATTTGCAAGAAGTTTAATAAGGGCTGACCATTTGTTTTGTTTTCATTGAACTCGAGTCTTTCTATTTTTGAATCGTTTACATTTTATGGTAACCCTAAATTGAATTAAAATTTGCTCTAATGTAAGTGATACCTGTTGATGTTGGCAAAAAAATTACATAAGTACGGTTACGGCTTAGGTATTGTATGTCTAAAAATGGCTTCATACATTTTTTTTAATCTTTTACGTACTTAAAACCCTACTTATAAAGGACGTAATGTGATTCAAAATCACCGATTTGAAAGAAGTTTGCAAAAAAGTATATCGTAACAAAAAATACATTATAACGTCGTAATAATTTCAGACTGATCGTGGGTTAGAATCTATGAAAGAAACTTTAGTAATCGTCGTATTTAACAAATACTGTGATATATGAAAATATGAAATTACTAGCTTTCACCCGCGACTCTGTCCGCGAGGATACATAGCAAAAGTGAGTAGCCTACGTGTTCTTCCAAACTATCCTCTACACTACATCTGTACCAAATTTCGTCGCAATCCGTTCATACGTTTAGGCTACAAACTCTTAACAAACATCCATCAATACTTTTGCATTTATAATATTAGTGTGATACGAATAAATATTTAATGAATGAAATAAGGAACATTTTGATGGAATCAACTTTGATATAAAATAGATTATGTATTTATTTTTATCGGAACATAAGGGGCCCGCTCATTGTGTTATTCGCCCGTCGCTTCGTAGACGGAGCTCTTGTTTTTTTCCATCGTTTTGTGTTCCCCAAGGACCTGATCCCATTCCCCGCGACGCGGCGTCTCAAGCTACGCGTTATCCTTGACCTCAATCTTTATGTACACAAATCACATTCATCTCATAGTTATTGAAACATTTTTATGTCTTGCAAGATTGTGTTGGGTATCTACTAAATAATAACTTCGTAATTTATGATTACCTCAGCTAACTGATTGATATCGAAAATTGTAAGGGAGATATCATCTAAATACTTTACTTTCAAAAAGATTGGAAATTAAATAATTTTAGCATAAGCATTCTGAAGCAAAAGTTGGAAAGGCTCTTTATACATAATAGCGCCATCTAGCGATATAGCGATGTTATGTTTACAACAGTAACATTTGTAGAGGATCCGTTTTGGAGTATTTATCCGTAAGGATTCTTTAAATAAAAGCGCTAAGATGGGTATTACCCTGAGGGAGCCCTCGAGCCTAGTTACTCTTAAAAGAGGTTTAGGCTAAGCGCCATCTGCGCTGGGCCACCTCAAGCCCGGTGAATCTGTAAATGCCTCTTCAAGGCAAACAGTGACAAATCAGTCACAAAAAAAAAAGAAAAAAAATGGGTATTACGTATGCTAGTAGCTGGCATAATTGAATGAAAGCTATTGACACGTTCCAGGTATAGGCATACAAAACGTTTTGTGCCAAAAAACAAGCAATTTGTTTTTTTTTTTACTTACAAGCAAAAGGAAGGCGAGGAAGGTTCGAACGTAACATGCTCGGTACCGTGATAATTTTACTGGCACGACAGCTATTTACATTCGCTCCACGATACCAGTCTGCATATACTTATTCACATTTTGAAAATCAGAAAACAATCATAATGCTTGATTACACTTGGACAGTTGCGCAGGCTAGGCATGGATTGACCTCGCTGGGTCCAGTTAAAAACTATATTATGCCAGTCCAGTCATTGATCTGTGCTGTCCAAGATCAGTCAATTTTTCACCGTTGCAGAGAAAGGCACAGGGATTAAAATAAAACATCTTTAGAAGTGTTGCCACCGTTTATTTGAATTTTACTAAAAAAATTGAATAAAAAATATTATATTTCACCAACACGTTACGTTACTTTAGAAATGAATAATATACAGTGGTAGAAAACCCGCGCCGCTCCGCCGGTACATTATTACTATGGATATTTCAATTAATTCATTATTATAAATTACATTAACACGGGAGAGTGGTCAGTGTTGCCAGATGCCTAAAGCTACACTCACTAGCGGTGTTTAAACGCTATAAAACTACAACATTGTCTATGGAAACTATTTAATCTATTAACAAAATATAAACAAAAGTTTGATCATTCATTTAAAAACCGCTAGTTTATAGCTAAAACGTGTCTAAACTCAAAATCTACCATAATTCAATTTCGTTGTATCAAACATGACAACTATTCTGGCAGTCTAACACTTTAGATTCACATTATTCTACGATTTCATAAAATCCACATTCAAATACTGTCAGATACACCAACAGAAGCCGGTGCTAATCTTGAGACACAAAGCTAGTTTGTTTTGCGACATTCCCACACATAATTTGGCCAAACAGAGCTATCACATTCCGATACTATTCAAGCCTGTCATCGAGTCCAATTTAACACTTATATCTTAATCATTAGTAAATACACACGATGTTAGTCATAATATCTATGTCCTACAGCCAAAAGGGATTGCGTTAATGATTCAAATATACATATATAATTAGCTTGTCTGTCTGCAGTGAGGGGGGCGTGAGGGCGCGGGGTGGGGGTGCGGGGCGCCGCCCGGCTGTTTGTCTGTCTGTCTGTGTCGTGTGAGGGGCGTGTAGGGGATAGTAAGGGAGCAAGACGAGTTGTCGCCCGGCTGTTTGTCTGTATGTCTGTCTGTGTGTGTGCGGAGTGGGACGGCGCGCTGTGTAAGGTTCAGTCTCACGCTGCTCTTAATCTAATCTTCGTCTTCACCACTCTCAGACTCTGTAAAGAAATAATTACAAAATTATATTTATGCTTCAATTCTTAAGACAGGACAGTTTTGCAAGTTTATTTTTAAAGGTGCAATCATAATAGGTGCAAAATAAAGAAGATATTGCAGTTTAACATGCGTAGTTATGGCAGAAAACGTCAAAACAAACAGTTCTTTGGTTAAATAGTGTCAAAAACGTGACTGCATCACACGCGATTTCTAGGTTATTTGATATTTCATTTTTGTTCAATTTTCAATATTGAAAAATTATAGGAACATATCTACTTTTGTTGAAATCCCTAAATAATAACACAAAAACAGTAATATTGACGGACATTGTTGCACATAAAACAATTTTAACTGTATCAAAATGGCATACAAAGCAATTATGGTATGATGTAATTATGAAGTTGCAATAGAAACGTACCCTCCTCTGCGCTCTGCAGCCACTCGACAAACTTCTTCATCTGGTCGAGGAACATCACCTTGCCCTTGGAGGAGTTCGGCTCGCGGTACCACTTGAGGATCACCTCCTCCGACAGCACGTTCGTCTTGTACAGCATCAGCACCAGCTTGCTGAACGCGCGCATGAAGCTCATGTTCTCGTAGCAGTATTCCTGCACCTGTACACAACAAATAAAACATTATTAGTACTTTTAGACAACTTATTTTTTTTTATAACATAAGGTGGCAAACGAACAATCGGCCACCTGAAACCGCCAAAATGGCGAAGCGACCGCTGCCCATCTTACTAATATTATAAATGCAAAAGTTTAGATGTTTTTTGAGCTTTTAGCCTAATCTGATGAACGGATCTCTTAGTGAAATTTGGCATAGACATAGATACTTTCGAAGAACACGTAGGTTACTTTTTTTTTAAATTCAACGCGGACAAAAGATAACTTAAAAAAAACTTGCACTTTAAAATATTGAATAATTTTGGTATATTTGATGTTATTACACAAATGTTTATTACATTTTTAGTATATAAACCAGCACTTATTTTAAATAATGTCGCCAAATATGAAAAATAACGGTGTTATGAATGTATCATATCCAGAGTAAAAGAGAGCAATGTCGCTCACAATAATTATCCCCAGCTATGAATTAATATCGCACACTTCGACACCAACACGAGCACAGTACTCGGGTTGGCTCTAATCGTGTGCCACGTATTAAAACGCAATTTTAACTATACTAAAACTTGTTAACATAGAAATTGTCTAGTTTATCTTACTAATATTGTTAATGCCATAGTTCATATGGATGGATATTTGATAGTGTCTTAAAGCAGAACTGATTTCGATAAATTTGGCATAGATGTAGAGGATAGTCTGGAAGGAGACAGGCAATTTTTTCTTTGACATGGTTGGATTCGCGGTCGAAAGCTAGTATAAAACATTTTACGTCGATGTCGTTATAGAAATGCGTTCTCAGCACTAAAACCGGTACATTAGTCCCTAATGTACTGTACATTACTGAACATACAAGTGTCATTACAATGGAGATAGTGGTGGTACCTTTGTTAACAATGCGATTTCTGCTTTAGCGGAGTGTGCAAAAGCGGCAAGCAACGGCGTGTAATGCCGTAGATGCTTCGCCGCTTGTTCTGCTAGAAGTTCCTCCTTCTTGTTCCACTCGCCGCGGGACATCACGCATTGCCATATCTAAAATAAAACTTTACTGTACACCACTAACATAATTTTCAACCTAATGTTATATATGTTAGAGATCAGATTGCCACATCGACAGTGTTGGTACAACACTGGCTATACAAGTAAGAAGCACTCGAAATACTCAAGCGACAACAACTCGTAACGCCTGGTTATACCACTCCGACTCGTCATCAAGTTTCATCATTAGACATTATTTCAGTTTAAGTGTAAATAAGATAATAGTGTAATAATTACTGTTAAATTAAATAAGGTATAAAATTTCTAAATTAAAATTCCATAAATTATTAATAATTCGTCAAAATAAACACTTTCCAGTTTAAAAATAGCAATCTTACTAATATTATACACGCGAAAGGTTAGATGGTTAGACGGATATTTGTTAAAGTATGCCCCTAAAATGCTGAACACATCTTAATGAAATTAGGCATAGATATACAGCATAGTATGTAAGAAAGAACACATAGGCTTACTTTTATTTTTTGTTTAATTCCACGCAGACGAAGTTGCGGGTGAAAGCTAGTTGTATATTAAAATCATAACTGTGTAGTTCCAAATAACTTTTAATTTTTTAAACGTGTTTATGATATAAACCCTCCCTTGTCATGTGTCCTAAATGTCTTGCTAGATTACCACCAGATGTGGCAACTATGCAGTGTTGTGGTGTAGTTGTGTTGTTGGGAGTGTTGTGGTGTGGTTGTTGGGTGTTGTAGTGTTGTAGTGCAGCACTCACGATGGCGACGATCTCGTGGTCCGGTATGGCGTGCTTGTGCGCCATGTCGCGCAGCTCCTGTATGAGGTCGCGCACCGGCTTGTCCTCCGCCAGCTCGTCCAGCAGCGCCGCTGTCAGCTCGCGGCGAGCCTCCTGCATCACACATACGATATTACATTTTTTTATTAAATTTGTTAATTTGCATGCCTTGTTTAGACAGTAAGATATTATAAATAAAACCAAGTTTCATAGAACACATAACTATAAAATTCTGTCACACGCATTAGGATCAGTCTGTATTATACATGTAAGATCAACTATGTCATGGGAAAACGTAATGTGACTGGAATTATTGCGACAATTATATATTTATTAACTTTTACAGTAGTGAACATCAGTGGTGTCATAGTGTAGTGTGGAGTATTGTGGTGTTGTGTAGTGTGGTGCTTTTTGTGGTGTATTGTGCTGTTTGTGAAGTATTGTGGTATAGTGTGGAGTGTTGTAGTGTAGTGTAGTATGTTGTAGCGTGGTGTACCTGCGAGGCCTGCGCGCGGTGCAGCCGCAGCAGCTCAGCGAGGCCACGAGACGCAAACGACGCCGCCAGCACCTCCTCGCTGCGACGGTTCAGCGGCAGGAACTCCAGCAGCCTGCAACCAACGCCACTCTCAGTATACACTCTTATAACACTACAATGCGATTTTCGGAAAAAAATTGTGGTGCTTGTAGCGTCATTTATGACGTCACGGCAAGGTTACTGTGAGCCAGTACATGACGTCATCTCTCTGCCCCGAGGACAGTCGCGCGATTCAATATACTAAATCACTTATAGTCCAGGGATCTTAATAGGTCAAAAAACCTAAAATTTCATTAAAAACATCTCAATCGATGTGTTAGACGTTACTAATATTGCATATGTAAAAGTTTAGATGGATGGATGTTTCTTATAGTTTGCAGTCTAAATCTAAACTATTGGACGGATCTCAATGAAATTTGGCATAGATGTAAAGTATAGTCGGGAAGAACACATAGGCTACTTTAAATCTTTGCAAACGGAGCCGCGAGCGAAAGCCAGTCTGGTAATATTTTACTTTAAATTCAATTATTTAGATAGGTATTGTTACCTGCCCTCGAGCTGTCCCTTCTTGAGTGCGGTGACGAGTGAGGTGACGCCGCGCTCCTGCTTCACGGTGGCGAACACCTCCAGCACGAACTCCAGCGCCAGGTTGTCCTTCAGCAGGTGCTCGTTCACCAGCACCAGCAGCACCGACGGCGGTACGCACCCGTTACCTGAACACACCGCCTCGTACGTACAGACTGACTGACAGGTGGACCTTTCATAGTGTTATAGGTTACGGACAAAGTTAATACTCCATAGGCATGCTTATGACGCTAAATTGGACGTTTTTTTGTATTTATTACTATAAAAACATAGGCATAAAGTTTTTTTTTTAATATAATATGATTTAGTAGTGAAATTGAATGATTAAAAGTGCCTATAGTTAAAAATTCCCTCGCCAATTTCTAAAACGTAACCGTTATTGGTCGAAGCACGTGATAGGTAAGATTCAATCACTGTGACTTTTGATAACTGAGAACCAATCAAATACTTTGCTTGACATCTCAACACTCGGGCTTACTCCGGCCGGGTTTCATTTAGTTTTAGTGTTAAAATGCATATTCCCTATTATTGACAGTGGTGTAGTGTAGTATGGAGTAATTTTTTTTTAAATGCATGAACTGTAGGACAAGAGTTTTGCTAGTGGATTCAAAGTATACATTAAATATCGCGACATTATAAGAGCTAAAAGGATTCTTGTATCTTCTAAACTTACCAATCCATAGTGCAGTCATACGAGCCAGTTTGATGCGCTGTTGAGGTTCAAATCCTTTCAAATAAACTAGGACCTAGAATAGAGGTAAAAAACATTGTTAAAAATGAACTAAAACGACGAATATTTTGATATATTTTCATCTTACATACAAACTAAAGGTTTTTAATAACAAACCTTTTTCATTTCTTCTTCAAACATTTTTTCCAAATACTTGTACCGACGCATGAGCTTGACAAAGACCTGAAAATATTTTATTATCAGAATTTCTGCCGGAAATGAGTCATTTGTGTGTTCAAATATGATATCGTCAGAATTATACGAACGAGAAATAGTGTCCTCCACACAATGGTTCAGGACTCTAGCCATGTATTTCATCATTTAGATAAAGTACTAATTACTAAAGAAATATCTTACTAAAAAGGATTTTAAATTGCTGATTAAGGCGGTTTAGATGAATGGATGTTAGGAGTTTGTAGCCTAAACGGCTGAACGGATCTTTCAGAAATTTGGCGTTGAGGACAATCTGGAATAATACATAGGCTACTCACTCTTGTTTTTTTTTTAGTTTCACGATGACGTAGTCGCGAGCTACAGCTAGTCACTAATATAAGCAAAGATATTTCCCGTAATATGGTAAGTTTTTTCTACTACTGGTTAAACTGTACCTGTTCGAAGTTGCGCATGGTATCCATATCCTCGCTGGCGGAGAAGATGCACGTGTTGGTCTTCGGAGTCTCGCCGTCCATCGACACCGACCCGCCGGGGACTGTACACTCAGATATGTTACAAATTGCACACAGTTACAAAATCTATTACATTAGTTATTATAATCAGATATAATGAACGAACGAAAAGTTTTCATCCACATAAGTTGTTCAGGACTCTAGCCAATTTTATCATCATGTTAAAATATTAAAAACCGACATAAAACAGTTCTTTGTAGTATTTTAAACATTTCATTAATCTTTAGTACCTAGTAGTATTAGCAGGGGAGGTTCAAAAGTTAATTTAAATATCTTTTATTTGTAAATCCATTCCTGTTACAATCCTTGTCTATGCGAGAAACAGTCGCTAAGTGGTACATATCTAATTGTTTGTAAGGGAAGGCAGAGTTTGAACGGTATGATCCATTTTTTCTATAAATAGCACACCACGGATTTATACGACTATACAAGTCAATGATGTTTCAAAAGGTGTATGTAGGGGGGTCTAGATATATTATAACTTACGCAGCAGGCCGCCGGCGATGAGCACGTCAAAGATGACCTCCCCATAGCGGCGGTAGTCGAGTTTGGAGCCGGCGGCGTCTAGGAACTTGTACGCCGCCTCCAGATCACCGCCGGCGCGCTCCAACCCTTGCACCAGCGCGTCGCGGAACCCGTTAGGGTCGTATTTCTCTTTCTCATCTGGCAACAAAGAATTATAAACATTAAAATCAACTTGTTATAAACATCAATGTTTAAAATACGGTAGTTTTGTAACTTAAAAGATCCAACCCATTTTGTATTCAGTGGATTGCCAATAACAATCCATACGTAAACTGACTAAAGTATGGCTAAAGGTTCAATTTTAAACTTTGAATTTGTGCGGAAAATATTTCAATAATAAATAATTAAAATATATTGATAAAATAACAATATATAGTCGTCTAAATAAGAAGGTAACCGTGAATATTATGAAAACACAGCTATAAATATCATCCAAGTAACAGTTTTATATCAGAGTTTCTGTCGACATATTTTCCTTATGAATAGGGTCAACTACAATATCACAAATGGAGGCAATAACTATAAATCCCCGTCCCTTCCTTTGAATCAATACCAGCATACTATGCACATAGTCAAGGAATTATATTCACTTTCCATTGAGGATTTAATATTGAACAGTGAAATGGTATAAGAATTTAGATGTCAACCAAATGGAAAGGATATAAGCGTCCTCGATTATTCCATATTACAAATCTGACTGTCTTTTGTTTAGAACACAGTATAAAGGGCATTAGAAAGGTCTAGATGGATCTAGATTGAACAATACCGCGTTATATAAGTAAATCATAAATTCAATGGACATACCTACGTCAAGCGACCTACGCTACAAACACCGTCTGCGTTACGTCAAACTTAGGGTGACAATGGTATTAGTGAATCGAGTCTAAACTCAATTTTCTTAGTATATTTTTGACTCAACTATCGCACAACTGTAGTGTGATTGTCGATTGTTTCGCAGCCCATTCAACTGTTCAATTACACAACTAAAATCGAGTAATATGCGCACCTCCATAAAGGCTTATAGGAATCAAAAGTTGTTCGCGCGCTCTTACTGTTCACCTACTTTATAACTTAGAGCTTGAGATAGTAAGAAAAAACGAGTTATTTCTACTTCAGACTTTATTTCTGTGAAATGACTGTCTTCCTTTAGACAACGAGCTGCGGCAAGAATAGTTCTTACTTCTAAAATTTGTCAAAGTACTAATCATTTGGTCACCCTACTATTGTATTAGATATGGCTTGAAAGTACATTACGTCACCTTGCGAACCTTTGAGCTGAACCTACCGGCCGCGACCGCTAGACGCTACTGTCCTACATATAATTCCTATAAAACGTGACTTACTAGCCATGGCATATCTTCAAGATTTAGAAAAAATAATATTAACATCAATTTACACAAAATTAAAGTCCTTTTATACTGCTAAAATAACATTATGATATAGACCCATCTGATCTATACCATTATAAAGGTGACCACACACTAGTCTGTGCGAAATTACAAAACACACCTATGTATCAAAATAAATTATCAAATAGTACCTTAACTATTCATAATTCATTAAAACCACTTGGAGTTAGTGTTTTGCGTTGTAGAAAAAATGAAGTTATTTTTGGTTAACAATAGTGTGTTCCTGCCTCTACGCTCTCCGTAAATAGTCTCAATTAGCACAAACACATTTGCGGTAACATTATAATTAACTAGTTTCTACGGAAATAATTCTTTACGTTTTGGACAAATAAAGTCAAGGACGAGACGAGACATTGGAAGAAAGATTTGGCAACATTCAACAAGGTCGTACAAAAAATTACAAGCACTTGGATCTACGAATATCTAATTCCTTTGACAAAGAGTTAATAAAATAAAATTTAATAATTTCTATCAGATATATATCAGAAAGGTATTGAACTCAAGAATTTAAAAAAATATTGGCGGGAATAATTGTGAACAATACAAAGATGGCGGATGGCGCGAACGACAGATAAAATGGCGCCGATGTGACATTGAGGTACAATGACACTTCCTTGTTCACCGGGTAGATAACAAACGCAATATAAACCTTGGCTAATAATTATTCGAAGGTTAAAGTTTTTACAACTTGCAAACAGAAAAAAAATTACCTGTACACTCCGCAGACCCATGCGATTTAGTACAATGAATTTTGAAGATCAAATGCTTTTTAAAAAAACAGATTTCAAAAGAACTATGACGACACAATACAAAATGAAGTACAAGAACGAACTAAAAGACGAGTAGGGTAGGCAGAAAAAAAGACTAAAGCCAACTGACATTCATAACCAAATAACCCTATACGAATATAACGAAATACTCAAATGGCCTTTGCGAATCAATACAACTTATATAAGGTGACCCATTTGCAACTATTTAGATAACCCAATTCCGTAACTTTTAGAACCAAACGTAGATATAGACTGTATGCACGAGTTGCGCAACTTTATGGCAAAAAAATAAGACCACCTGACGCTGCAATTGTGAAATATTACTTAAATTACGACCTACTTACTTATCACGTTGTAAGCATTTTCAGCTACTATAAGTAACCTCGATTATTTAAAAGTGGAAAAAAAAATGTTTTAGAATATTCACGTGGTATTTTGGATGCGTAATTAACCAATATAATCACTCGCATTTTCTTTAACTGAGAAAGAATAACGACCAAATACTGAAAAGCGCTATTCCAAATTCCATTAAAATGTATAACCGATTATGGAGCCCGCCACAAACGCTATTTACAACTTACAGTATTAAAAAGCCTAACTATTCAGTTAAAAGTGGGCATTTTTAGGCAATACTTAATGTAACAATTAAAATTTTCCCTTCACACAGTTTAAGTTAACAGTCCACTTAACCTGAACGTCTGTACCCAACTTAAGTAGAGCTAACAAAGTAAATGGTTAATCTTAGTTTCTGTATCTTGCCAAATGAAAAAATAGCCGATTAAAAAAAACAGAATCAGTATACAGACAATATATGTCAGATCGTATTCAGCGAATTTCAGAATGCATAAGCAATGAATAGCAGTATGGAGCGAGCATAAATATTCAAGGCTTCCCAGGGGACAACGGTGGACTTTGACACCAGTGGAAATTTCCACTACTAAATGGAATATATGACATCAAATTCACTATAAAACTTTGTGCTTTGTTATAAAAGCAGGACATATTAGAGTTTGCAATAACAAAAAAATTAGGCAACACTTTAGCACTTGTAATAATTGACTCAAATATGATGGCTGATAGAAATGTATGGAAGACCAGTACATACTGGGCTGACAAGGGCAAGATTGCTGTCTTAGTAGTTACAAGACAGTATAATTTACCACTAAGTTTATAGTCTTAACAAAGTAATCCTATAAAATAAAGTATTGTAAAATATGCATTTAATAAGACAGACATCTCGACAAGCAGAGAAATATATGCAGATAAATACAATTGAATTTGTTTATCTTGGTACATAACATAAAAACATGTTTATGTAATAAACAATTGTCTCTGTCACAACATGTTATTTACATTTAATTTCTTACAAGATATTTATTGAATACATTATTTACTATATTTTAAAATACTGTTTGTCTTAGATCCTACTTTATTTAATTTGAATTTTACAGACTGGTGTTTTTTACTGCAAATTACCACTAGAAAACAAAATTACCATTATATAAGCTTGTACTTTCTAACTGTTAATATTATAATGAAAGATTTGTGTTTTAGTATGCAATAAATAAACTAAGAAATTACTGGACTAATTAAATAAATCCCTATACCAATAGAAAGCTACCCGCAAGTCTAAGTTAGTTATATTACTAGATTTATCGGGCAGATAAAAAACAAAGTATAATAAAAGACTAGTCATTTTGACCATAAATGTAATTTTTTTTTAAAGAACCATTTACGTTTTAATCCATTTCCCTTATCTAAAAACATTGTAGAGAATCTAAAAAACAGTTTACCTTACAGTATTATTAAACCAGTTTAAATAGCATTTTCCTTATATTTGCTGTTTGGTTAGCAATTGCAGATCTGACTTCCAAGCAGGCATCTAATTTTTTCATAAAATACTGCATTTTACTTTATTTGCGGCCGTTATATTTAGTACAATAGATATTTTAGATATATGTTTATGGATGGATGTTTGTTACTATGTATCTCCAAATTTACATAATAGATATACATTAAATTTGTCACAGATGTCAAACATAGTCTAGACTAGTGATTCTCAACCACTGTGCTGCAGCAATTTTGTGTGCCACCAAATTTTGCATATTTTTGTCACGAACTATTTATGCAGTGTGTAGTAAGTAAATGATTTCCATCTTCTTTGTGTGCCATCAAATTTTGAAATCGTTAAATATGTGCCGCAACAGAAAAGGTTGAAAATCACTGGTCTAGACAAACACATAACCTTTTTTTACTCTGGACTAGCTGTTCCCATGCAACTTCATCCACATAAAGTTATAAAAATTTCATTTTATTGTTCACATTTGTCAAATTATCATTCAAAAAAAGTTATTCAAAAATATGCTGTGATTACCGACATCTTAGGCAACAAAGAAATGCATGTTTACACTTTATTTTATTAGTATAGATAGAATCACAGGTAAATGATAGTATGATACTTAAAATTCATGTTTTAGTATTTTTTTATTTGTTGCTAAAAAGATTACAAGACTACAGAAATTGTTTTTGCAAGTAAATATAATGTTTGAAAATAATATGCAAGCACTTAATAAATTCCTCAATTGATATTATTCAAATAATCATAAAGCAATGAAAAAGGTCATTGTTCTCACTTTAGGTCAGTCACCTTTGTCAAATTATTACTCATACAAATTATTTATGTACTAAAAAAACAAACTAGATATAAATATAACTCAAGTTTTTTTTAATTTTGCCTTTTTAGTGTAATATAGCTAAAAAAAGTCAACATTTCAGATAATGTAGTTTTCTAATGGCAAAATAATTTTCGAAAAATCCAGCTGGTAGTTTAGTAATTACATTTAAAAATACAAATCTTGTCTATTATTATAGACTAGCTTTCGCCCGCGACTCCGTCTGCGTGGAATAAAAAAAAACAAAAGTGTAGTAGCCTGTGTGTTCTTCTAGACTATCTTCCACATCTATACCAAATTTTATCGAAATCCGTTCAGCCATTTATGCTACAAACTCTAACAAACATCCATCCATCCACACTTCCGCATTTATAACATGTGTAAGAAGTAAGATTACATTATATTGTCTACATAAATTATTATTTATCAACAATTTTGGATTTTGTGCAACAGATATATTTTTCAATTTGAACTATTTTATGTATTTCTATAACACATTTATGTGTCAATAATCCTTTTTATATGATACTAGCTGTTGCTTGCGACTTCGCCCATGTAAAATAAAAAAATATAGCTTATGTTACAGATAAATTACCATTCTAACTGTCAAAGAATTTTTAAAATCGGCCCAGTATTTGAGTTATTTCAATACATACAAAAAAAAATATTTCCAAATAGTATTAGTATAGATAAGTGAAAAAAACAAAACATGAATCAACATGTTACTTACCTCAAAACAATTAATTTAAGGAAACATGTATTATCATATAGACAATAAATATATTATCAACAAGCCTGCATGTTGAGAATGACACATTTATAATCTTAAGATACCGGAAGACGAATACAATGAAATAGTTTGTTTGACATTTAAGGTTAGTTTGAAATACATATCTAAAGATAAAATTAAACAAGGTGTTAGCAGTATTGAAACTCACCTCTTTTTCTGGTCTTGATCCGTTGACCCGATAATACTGGTTTTTCTACCTTCTGACTCATACAATATATTGCTGAAACCAAACACACGTGGCATTAGGAACGTAGGTAATGTAGAAAGGCAGGCAGGGACCCGTTACCCGTTGTAGGGTCATCGCCCGCCTGCGCCCCCGATTCCACAGGCGGTCACCATCTGCTCAATAAAACCACCAAATACTCATGGCGAACGATACTTACTTCAGATAGAAATGTAATAAACTAGAAAACTCTGACTTAAGTAAAGAAATTTTTACTCCAATAAACTTTTTGTTCTATGACTCAGCAAGGACTATACCGCGTGATTTTTAATACAACACGGAATGTGATACACGACTACTAATATTCTAAGTATGCACTTATACTCACGTAGTGACAGGTTACGTAGGAGCCTTTTACTCCTTTTGCGAGTTCTCTCGGACTGCGCCTGTTCAGAAAAGAAAGAAACGCTGCAACGATCTCTATTCCCTCGAGAACTAGAGACAACGTGTATGGAGTCACCGGATGTCCGGTAGTTTAGATCACGAATATCGATTTAAATATTCTCTCACCGTCTATTTTTCTAATAGTTTGCAAATGTTTCAAACGAAATAAAAGGTATTTTTGAAAATAAATGTCTAAGTGGTATTGCAGACAAAACCAATAAAACGTTAGTTGTAAGACAACACAAAAATAAATATTTATTGTTGCTGTTCTTTCGAAATTATTATTTCGTGTTTTAATCAGTTCAAGTTTTACTTAAATTTAAACACACTATTTTTAAAAAATAACACAATAATTTGTTGAATTTTTTACCACTTTAATAAAAAAACACTATTTGAAAGGAAAGCATATGACTAAAAATGGCAGAAAAACAAAACACCATAGATATTTTAACTTTTTAATAATTATGATTCTATTGAGGCACATGGTATGGAAGACTTTCTTCTAGAACGTTCAATTATTTTAACAAAATATTCTTTCTTTTAATTTTTATTGTTCGTAATAAATATTGTTCCCATTCTACAAATTGTCGAAGGACATTGATGTTACCTATTGTATGACTACATTTTTCAAGCGAAAGAATTAAAATTCTTACTTAATCGTCATCTATTTAATAACTCTATCATCCGTCATCTCAGTCATCACCCCCTTCTTGATCATGTCACCTCTCACATTCACACAATCCATCCATTTATTTCTAGGTCTATTGTTGTAAGTGAAACCTATTTGGTGTTTTGCAGTGTAAGACTGGCTGTATTTAAATAATGACATAAGATAATTAGTTTGAGTTGTTCGAATGTAGAGAAAAAGAACATGTCTAGAATAGTGTAAAAAAATAATATCTTGTTTTTATACAAAGTTGTATTGATATTAGTTTATATGAGAATAAATAACAATCTTTATTTATTTAATCATTTTTGTGTGCTGGCTAAACCAAATTCCTATCATCTATCTCTACCGGTATACCTCCACACACATAACTTTTGTCCTTCTTGTTACATGCGATTTATCTCTCCTCATAACCGTGATATGGGTATGGTCATATACCGTAGTAACCTTTTACTTCTTAATTTCTCTACCACTAATTCCTCTAATATACCCATGTCGTAACTTACTTAACATTATCTTGGAAAATAAAATAAATAACTTTCAATGTTTTAAAATGTCACATATAAAATGACATATGACTCTGACATTGACAAATAACTAACCAAAAAAAAAACAAATTATAGTTTGGTTTCGTTTACGTTTACTTTAGTAACAAAGTTATTTAAATATTCTTTAATTATATTATTAAGGAATGATTCAGATAATTTGATTTTTAGTGATAGTTAGGTTTCTATAAATTCTAATCTGATAAATAACAAATGATGGCGAACTCAATATGGCTTAAGGTTAGTATACTTTATTTTTTCCGTAAATAAAATTATAATAAATAACCATTTTATTAATTTTCCAGTTATGTACCTTACGTCATGCACCGGCAGCGTTTCTACAACCGTATCGTACAACTACGAATAAACATTTCAATCCGAAATTTAAGAAGGAAAGGGCAGCTAAATACTTGAAGGTGGATCTGCCAAATATGAATGAAGATACGGAAGATATGACTCCGGAGAAAATGCGTCAGAAAATGAAGGAGAGAGGAGTGTTACCACCACGACCTTGGATGGAGCGTCCGTTTTATATTTCTGCCACTGGTCAGTTACATGTCACTTAATTGTATTTTGCCATTTATCTTGTAATTACATGTAAACTATAACACTAGTAAATACCTCCTTGCATTGACAATTTCATGTCTTTGACCACCTTGGTGTTCTCGCCCCTCATTGCTTCCCTTTTATTATAAAAAAAAACATTTAAAGTTATTAGATATAATTTGATGCAGAGCAAATGTAAATATTGGTAATCTGCCAAATTTGCAGGACAATGTAAAACTATCCTATTTAGATTATTTTACAAAAGAGTACCTGGTTATCCAATTTCTGCCTTTTCCATATTTTCATAGCAAGTGTTTTGTTGTGTTTATGTTTTTATACAAGTTCAATATTGAATCAATGGTAATTCTTAAAATGGTAATAGTGACATGATTAATACTTTTTAATAGCCTTTAGAAGACTTTTGCATCACTTTAACAGTGGTAGAGCCCGCTTTAACATCTTCGCAAGAATAGGCCGGCTCACCCGGTGTAATACCACAACCACACAGAAAGCAGGCGTGAAGTGGAAGCAATTCCGATTTTCGTCTGATGAGTGTGGTGCCGGAGGCCTAATTTTAGTCCCTTTTCCTTTCCACCCTTTTCTTAAGAGGAAAGGATAGGAGGGAAAAGTGGATTTGACGGTGGAGGAGATGCATAGGAAGGGGAATTGTCCTCTTTATGTGCGTCTCCTCCTCTGTCAATTAGAGTAGGTAACGCATCTGTAATTACGGATGTTTATGGGCAGCGGTCGCTTTCCATTCGGTGGATTCAGGTGGCCGCATGCTCGTTTGCCACCTCGTATTATAAAAAAAAAAATACTTTTGTACTGTCAAAGAGATGTCTATGATTTACAATATATGTATTAAAATTATGTTTTTCAGGAGGTATATTTGAGGCATATGTCCCTCCAGAGGGTGATGGAAAAGCATCAATAGTGTCCGCAACAAGAGCAAAACAAACTGTACAACTCCTTGAAAAGAAATCAAGATCAATGATGGCGGTCCGCAAGATTAAATCATACGAAGAAGATTTTAACACTAACGAATTTTGCAGTCAGGCGCAGAATATATACATCAAAGCTCATGAGAGTCTTGCTAACAATGATAAAGCTTCCTTAAGGTTGTATGTAACGGAGAAGGCATACCCTGAGTTCAGACACAACACTTGGGAGAAGACAATACATTGGAAGTTCTTGGAGTCTCTGGAACCTCCGCGGGTGGTGCATGCTCGCTGTACCGATATTATTAGCAAGGATAATATATTTGGGCAGGTAATATAAAAGTATTGAGAAATATTGAAACTGTTTTGTAAATGGATCCCATATTCTTTTCTGCAGACTGCATTTAGCTTAATTATTCATTCCAAATAACATTACTAAAACTCTCTTTATAACAGTCTTTATGTTTAATTCAGATTATTATAAAATTGTTCTGCATTAACTTGGGTAGGGGTAACCTGATTCTTGAGGGTGCTGCCAATGGCAGCAGACGCAGGTGGGGGTCGCAGACGTAAGCGATAGCGTGTCCATGGCCCCGGCCTACTGCGTTGAAGGAACCGAAGGGTTAAGTGGGTATGCCCCCCGTTTTGGGGGGAGAGTCCCACATATCTACCACGCTCCTAAGGCAATCCCCTTGGGCAAAAACAAAGGGGGTTACCTGATTTGTAAAAGATGTAACAATAATTGGCTTTTTCAGGTAACAGTGCGTTTCCACACTCGTCAACAGCTAGCCGTGTACGACCGTTTCGGACGTCTACTCCACGGCAGTGAAATACTCGCTAAAGACGTTTTAGAATATATCGTATATGAGAAACACCTTTCAAACATGTATGGAACATGGCGAGTACATGCCAAGATTATTCCTGACTGGGCACCTCCCAAAGATCCTTCAAAGTTAACTAAAATCAGACCAGAACCTGAACCTGAACCTACTAAGTTATTAGAAAAACCAGAAGAAACCCCAGCAATAGCTGATAAGTAAATTGTAAGAAATTAAATTAGTATAATAGATTTGTCTTTTTTTTTCAAACTAGCTATTCCCGTGCGACTTCATCCGCATGAAATTATGAAAAAAATATTTTATTGTTTACATTTGCCATCTTATCAATAGCAAATGTCAAAATGACATGACATGAGACAATGTCTTGATGCTTCCTTGATGTTGGCAGCAACTTATGGTCTCTTTCCCACATTAGGGTTTTTATCCAAAATATTTAACCCCTAAGTTTAATGGCGTTATAATATATAGCCTAAAGCGTGACGCAAGTGTAGGGCTTTTTATTAAAAAAAGGAATATTTAAAAACATGTAATTGCTGACATCTTAGGCAACAAAGAAGTGTGTGTTTACGCTTTATAGACTAGCTTTTCGTCCGCGTGGAATACAAAAACGAAATCAGTGTATCTTACGGGAACCGTAGCTATTTCCGGGATAAAAAGTAGCCTATCATATCCCCGTCTATGTCAGCTACACTTCACTTAGAGTTCGGACGAAATCAGCAAAGTCATTTCGGAAATTACCCGGAACAAACGCGGCTTGCGGACACCGATTTATTATTTTTTTGTATTATTTCTATAAGCCAATTTTATTATATGTATAGATGCGAAAGTTTAGATGGATGTTTGTTATAGTTTGAATGGACCTCGATGAAATTAGGCAAAGACTAGAGTATAGTCTAGAATAACACAAGCTTGTTTTCTGAATTCCATACGGGTAGTCATGTAAATATAAATCATATAATCATATAAATATTATAAATGCAAAAGTTACGATGAATGGATGTTTGTTAGCGTTTGTAGCCTAAATGGCTCAACGGATCTCCATAAAATTTGGCACAGGTTTAGAGCATAGTTTGGAAGAACACATAGGTTACTTTTTATCTCGAGAATAGTTACTGTTCCCTTTGGATTCAGTAATTTAGTTATTTAATATTTACTCGATCATTCTGCAACAGTACAACATATCTTATTGAAATTTGGCACAGATATAAAACTAAGTCTGGAGTACACATGGGATAAGGTTCATCCCCGAGAAATGTCCTGTTCCCGATGGATACGTAGCTTTTTGTTATTTATGTAGTTTGTAAGTTTTCGCGAGCAACAGCTAGTTATTAAATAAAACAAAGTATAGAATTATATTTAATCTATTTTATTGAAATATTAGTGGCTCTCTGAGCTTCATTTCTTGTTTTCTTTTATATATTATTTATAATAAATTAAATTTAAACATAGTACTATTTAAATGCCGGTTGTATAACATTTTGCAACTATCACTAGTAAATGAAAAGTATACAAATGGAAATACTCAAATATTTACAAAATACGAGTGAACATTTTGATACAATTCATTTAATTGCACCGAGATTTTAACACAGATCGCTGTATTAAGACATTTTTTAATAATATAAGAAAATAAGCGAAAACTTTTAATTTAAAATGATTGCCTAAATAATTCACAACACAAGAGCAAACGAATCGTTGAAAAGGTATAGTACTAAATATCAGAATCATAAGTAAATTATATAAAAACTAGGCAGTAGAAATTTCTATATTATTGCAATTTGAACTAAAACACTTATAAAATACATCTTTTGCCTTACTGTATTTATATATTCTTCATGGAAAATCCATACAAAAACACATTTTAACACATCACTGTAAAGTCCATAATCCAATAGCTCATTTTTGTGACGTCATCAATATCTTCATAAAACGGTCGTTCATTTGTGTGTCAACACAACCATTATAACATGACCTCATGGTCTTGTGACGGGGATGTCCATAAAATGGACTCTATGTCAATGCAATAGAGGTGTTTTGTCTGCTCAGACGACAGTGGGCGCGCTCCTGTGTGCAGGTTTTGGCGGCAGCGGCGGCGGCGTGCGAGGATTTTGTCTCTGTCGTTGCTTCTCTCGTAGATTTTCAAGGAATTCTGTAATAACAAAATCAAACATATAAATGTGTAAGTTTGGATTTTTCGTAGAATACCGCACTAATGAATTTAATACCAATGAAAAGTGCAAAATATGTCATCCGCCATTTTGGTTTTGTATAATTGAATAATACAAGCTTTCAATCTCAAATATATATCTATTCATATAAATATAACAAAGCGTGAACACATACTATTGAGTTACTTAGAATGGCAGCATCACAACGTGTTTTTAATTTTTTTTATAAATAAAATGTCCTACACTTACGACACGGTTTAGGTTACATTTTCACGCTATTCAACTTAGGGAGGAAAAACCCTTCATGTGGGAAAGAGACAAAAACCACAAATTAACGAAGCAACGTTGCCATGGTAACAGTAATTGTTATTTGTGCGTTTGAATTTTGGCATTTGCAAATGTTGTCCATAAAATAAAGTTTTGATACTTTCAATAATGAACTGGGGAATATTTTTTTAAATCTATAGTAGATACCAGGTGGATGATGGTGTAGCGGGGGGCCTGGCCTGAGGGCGGCGCGCACCCGCCCCGCCTCGCCCGCCGCACCCCCCGCACTGCCGCCGCTGCCCGCGCTGCTGACATTGCCGCTGCTGCCGCTGCTGTTACTGACCGCAGGAGTACCAGCGCACTCGCCACGGCTGCGACTTGACACGCTCTGTACAAACAATCGTACTAATATTATAAATGCGAAAGTTTAGATGGTTGTTAGAATTTTTAGCCAAAACCTGAAAGGATTGAGATGAAATTTGGTATATAGAGGGTAGCTGGAAAGAACACCTTGGCTACTTACTTTTGTTTTTTTTTTCCTAATTCTACTTTTGAGCACACAATTTCGAATTCGGCTCAGCAATCGGCCAAGCATCCTTCATCTTTATAATATTAGAATAGACTAGATTATTACTTGATTATTACATGAATTTAGCAAGTAATTAAGAATGGTATATTTACCATCTGGTCGGTATCTTCCTGCAGGCGCACTGCGAGGTCCGACAGCGAGTCTGCGTCGTCCTCGCGCTCCGCCCCCGCCGCCGCCGCCCCCACCGCCCCCGCCGCCCCCGGCACGCCCTCGCACGACTCCACTATCTCTAGCAAAGCGCCGTCCAATTCCTGCAAATTGCCAAATAAAACAAATAAATAGGTGTTAATATTTACTTTATAAATGCGAAAAATTTAGGTGGATGTTTGTTAGAGTTTGTAGTTTAAATTGCTGAACAGATGTTGGTGAAATTCGGCATAGATGTTCGGATAGATTCCTCGCAGATTGAGCCGCAGGCGAATGTTAGTGTCATATAGGTCATGTTTGTACAAATATTAAGTCCCCCACGCACGGTCTGAAAGCAGAGCGTGCGTGGGGGACTTAATATTGGATGTCGTCGAGATCGAGAAAGACCAAAATTGAGATGGGTAGACGGTGTAAATCGTGATGAATGTTGGCATAAGAAACTGGAAATCGGTAACCACTAACAGACCGAAGTGGAAAAAATTGCTTGACCAAGCCAAGGCCCACAAAGGGCTGTAGAGCTAAGGAAGAAGAAGAAGCACGCTCTGCTTTATCTGAACAGTCCAGTTTAGGCAAAACTAGGAACTGTTCAGTTATCAGTTTTGGCTTCAGATAAAATAGACCACCTAGCGGGCTTTATGAAATTTGTCCATGAATGAACTGGTATTATTTGTTTTTTTTTATAATATAAGGTGTCAAACGAGCAAGCGGCCACCTGAATTCACCGAAATGGAAAGCGACCGCTGCCCATAAACGTCTGCAAGTGCAGATGCGTTGCCTACCATTAATTGACGAAGGAGGAGACGCACATAAAGAGGATACCTATTTCCCCTTCCTATGCGTCTCCTCCACCGTCAAATCCACTTTTCCTTCCCATCCTTTCCTCTTAAGAAAAGGGGGGAAAGGGAAAGGGACTAAAATTAGGCCTCCGGCACTACACTCATCAGACTGTACGCGGAATTGCTTCTACTTCACGTCTGTTATCTGTGTGGTTGTGGTATTGGTGAGGGCGAGCCGGCCCTGCAGTGCGAAGATGTTAAAGCGGATATCACTGTAGATATGTAACCGGTATACAGTTAGGACTTACGTGTACAGGCGTGTCAGGGTTGACAGGCCGTCCGTTGCGCAGCACGTGCGCGGCGGCGGGCGCGTGGCGGCGCAGCACGGGGCGCAGCACGTGGCGCAGCGGGCGCGCCGCGCGGCAGCGCACCGCCAGCACGCGCGCGCCCAGCGCCAGCCGCAGCACCACGCGCCGCTCCACGCGCGCCTCGCGCCCCGCCAGCACGCCCGCGCCCGCGCCCGCCTCCACCGCGCGCCACACGCCCTGCGCACACAACACTACTTTATATCTACCCTCTCACGTTTCGCCACGGTACTTAAAAAGTGAAATATTTAAAATTCGTTTCAGTATTTGATTTACGCGCTCCTAAAGGGTATTTTTGATAAAATACTACACAAATGATAACGAAGGTATTTACAATGGGGATGTTTCCTAATTTTTGGAATAGCCTTTATTTTGTAGATAAACCATGTATGAACACGAAAAAAAATAGTATAAAATATAATACTCATTATTTCAATAAAAAACACGTAAATTAAAACAACTCTTTCATTTCCCCCCAAAACGTCCCATGACGTCACTTCTTTGCAAACGAACCTAGCGTCACGGCCTGTCACTGTCAATTTGAAAGAACCATTGATTGATAATACTCGTAAATCTTTGTTGTCTAAAGTTGTTTTTAGTAATGGAGATAAAAATGAAAAAACCAAAATGAACAGAAAGTGATACTTTTAACGTATTAATTACACTTGTTGCTTCTCGTGGAAGATTATGTTTGTGTGTAAACAGTGACTGCGTCCTACACCAGTGTGACCAGGTATAAATTAAATTGTACTGTAAGCTACTCTTATGAATTTTGATATCTTTTTCTTTTGTAATATTCATAAAATGTTTTGCTCATAACTTATGTCGTAATTATAAAAACACTCAATAATGGAGTCCTCATAATATAAAACACGCAAATTCAATTATTACAATCATTTAGAAAAAAATATAACTACAAAATGCATGTTATGCCATGTTGTAGTTATATTTTTTTCTAAATGCCATGTTATATGCAAGAAAGTGACGTCATTGGTGTTTGAGATCGAGTAATGGAGGGTAAAAAATATTGCAGCGTTTTTAATTTATATTTAATTTGAGACAAACATTCAAGGTCTCTAAATGTTATTATAGGTTATAAAATGCTGTCTTTAAAATATTAAACATAACTTTATTTGGATTTGTAACATTAGGAAACATCCCCATTACTGTTACTGAAGTAATTATGTTTCTTCGAAATCTTCTATTCGTCTAACATAACATACCTGTTCGTCTCTGAGCAGCACGTCGTAGGCGAGCACGGGCAGGTTGCGGCGCTGCAGCAGGCGGTCCACGAGGCGGCGCACCGCCACGCCCTCCTCCACGCCCACCACTGACGTCGCGCCGTCGGGTAATACCACCCGGCATAAAGAACCCGCCCCTTGAGTACCTGATTTCACCACCTAAGGGAATATTTTGAGTCAACACTATAGGAATCACTTAGAAATTATTGATTTATTGGACAGAAACAGGAGAAATACAAGAAAACAATTTGAAACAGTACACAGGTTCCAAGTGTACCTGCTTTTTTATTTTAATTTAAGCGTTAAATTATTTGTTGTTTTAATAAATTCGATTTAAAAATTATTTTTTCATTTTGATGATTTTTGACTATTTGCTCGAGCACTTTGTCAAGGTCAGGCTGCGGCAGAAGATATTACCAGTTGCGGTTACTTAGATATGAAGAAAAAGAAAAGTACTCTTAAGGGAAGTTTAAAACTAAAATAAACTGCGCTTATTCTCTCTTTTAGCCTTATAAGTTGAGAACTGTTTTTTTAAGGACTTCGAATAGGTATTTTTTAATAATCATACTCTTGAGAAAGCATTATTCGCTGACAGAACATATTTTTAAATCTACACCAAGAATCATATTTCTTGAGTACTAGCTGTTGCTTGCGACTTTGTTCACGTGAAATTTAAAAATATTACCGTTAATTGGGGATAACGTACCTCTTTAAAAGTAAAAAAATATTGAAATCGGCCCAGTAGGTTTTATATTTTTTCAATACATAGAAAAATCCAAATCTCCTTTTTATAATATTAGTATACATTTAATTCCAGTTTCAGTTGTAGCTATAATACATTTATATTGTGTTATTTCATAATACAATAAGCAGTTCCCTGCAGTAGCCGTGTGTACAAATATTGACACAGGCGCGTTATTTTCCTACCGTTCTTGTGCAAGTCACCGCTATTGCACGCTTTACTTAAATCAATAAACTATGTATTTACTATTATATTAATGGATTATATCTCATTTCGATACAATACAGAAAGTAAAGAGAAGAAAACTATCCAACTACAAAACTACGTGGCCATTATATTGGACTTTTTTAATTAGTTTATCAAAATTATATCCTATAGTGAAGTCATACTACGAGTTTTACAGTCAAATACTAAAACAAAATTTAAATATATACTGACATACATAAATACATGTTTACATTATTCCATAATAGCGTTCATTGATATGGCCAAGTTACTTCGAATTCCATAAACACAGTCTTACACCCTTACAAATAAACGCAGTATAAAGTTAAATTGAGTATAAGCAAAATTTGTACTAATATTTGCTTATACTCATATTATTCCTAAAGTATAACTTTACATTGGTGTAATATGTGTTACCCTAAGATAAGAGAGAGAGGGGGGGGGGATAGAGGGAAAGAGAGGGGGGATAGAGACAGAGAGGGGTATATCTAAAACTCACATCAGCTAATGTAGGAGGTTCCACCCTCTCGTTCCTGTCGCGCGCTGCGTCAGATTTGCTGTCTCGCTCTACGCGGTCCGCGCGCTCGCGCGACGCGCCGCGCAACTTCCACGGCAGCAAGGACGCGCCGCCGCTGCGACGACGTTCTGATGCGTTTGACGCTGACTTTTTTAACTGAAACAATAATAAAAATCATAAGGAAACAAGCAAACATACGAAATATGTGTTCTTTTAACAGTAAAACTAAACTAAGGGTCAAGTCAATCTAGTAAGGCAAAGGAAATATCAATTAGGTTAACTAATGTAAAAATCTGCTTCAAAGTGAAACTTAGTACATAAAATTTGACAGAGAAGATTTACACCACACAATCACACTAATATTAAAAATGAGAAAATTTAGATGGATGGATGTTTGTTAGAGTTTGTAACCTTCTGCTCAACGAATCTCGATGAAATTTGGCATAAATGTAGATAGTTTGAAAACACATAGACTACACGGTTTTGTTTATTTTTATTAATTCCACGCGGACGAGTCTCGGGCGAAAGCTAGTAAGACATGTAGATGTGTTGATAAAATACTAGGAGTCAATAAAATCTAATAAGGCAAACGAAATATGAAAATTCTAATATATTTACTTGTCAAAGTCTATTTCAAATTGGAATATTTGCTTGTAATTCGGGAAAGGAAACATCAGAACAACAGAATACAATAGAAATAAAACAGAAAACAATAGTGTTTATAAGCTGACCTTAGTGGGCGTGGCGTCTTCTGTAGTGGGCGTATTGTGCGGCGCGTAGGGCGGGGGCAGGCCGCGCAGGTCCGCGCGTGCGCACTCCGCGTGCACTCCGGAGCGCAGAAACCGCGGGTAGCTGTCAAACTTCATTACGTTGAAGATCTGCTTCTGTGCCTATAAATATAACATTATACAAAGAAAATTATAATTAACTTGTTATAAATTGAAATAATTGAATTATAGACCAACAAGTACTAAAACCACTATAAAAAGATCTGTCACTATGCACTATACGTGTGCAAACAAACCTGCAGGAAGAGGTCATCTGGCGGTGGCTGCAGGTGGGTGCGGGCGGCAGCTGCGCGTCGTGCGGCCGCGTCTACGTTAACGGGCTCGGGCGCGCCGTCCGCTAAGTGTCGCGACCAGATCTCCCCCGCGAGCTGCGCGCGCGCACCGCCCCCGCTCACACGGTACTGTTCGCACGACCACCAGAAACTGCACAGATCATAAGCTTTTCATTAATAAACATCTTACTAATATAAATGTGAAAGTTAAGATGAATGGATGTTTGTTATAGTTTGTAGCTTAAACGGATTTCGATGAAATTTTGTGTAGATGTAGACGATAGTCTGGAAGAACAAATAGGCTACTCACTTTTTCTTTTAATTGTAGCATTTATAGTTTTACATCATATCCGATAGATGACGCTGTTTTAAAAATAGTGTCCTCTTCTCCTCAGTGCACTCACCGTATATTCTCTGCGGCGAACTCTTTAGCGAGGAAGTGAGCGAAGGCCGCTGCGCCGGCTGGGTCCGCCAGCAGCTGCTCCAAGCCAAGCGACCAGCGTGCTACGCCCCCCGCGCCTCCGCCCCCGCTCGCCGCGCCTCCTACACCGCCCACGCCGCCAGACCCCTCGCTCATTTGCTGTAAATATACAAAGCTACGTTAAAAATTTATATTAGGAACTTTTCAATCAGTTTCAATAATACACTTTACTGCAGTAATCACGTGTTATTAAAACACAAGATTACTGCAGTAAAGTTGACTCCGACCGCGTTTAAGTTATAAACTTAGCGCAGTCGTTAAGGTTATAAACTCTAACAAACATCCATCGATCCATCTAAACTTTCGCATTTATATTATTAGTCAAATTAACACGAAACGAATGTAGTTATTTGTAGATGTTACATCTGTATTTGTGTCCTCACCTTGCTATACATGTTACGGTGGTCGTGGTGTCGGTATGAGCTGCCGGCGCCACTGCCCGTCGTCCAGCGTCGGAACGGCGACGACTGTTCGCTCTGCGCACACAAATTATAATAAAATTAATTACATACCCCACAACTACTGTGTAAAGTATTTGAATCACAGTTCTCTTTAAAATTACGAACATTGTAGCACAAATATGATGTAAAAGTATTTGCGTCAACAAGATACTTCTAGTCGGTTATAAATAAAATATGTCACGTCTTGCTTTTTCCTTGTCATCAACATTACCACCATATTTCAAAATACAGCTCGGCATAATAACAACAATCACATACATGTTTCGGCAGTGAAAACAGATTTTTGTATTTTTTAACTAGCTGTTGCTCGCGACGTCGTCCACGTGAAATTTAGTCATAGCCTATCTTACTCAGCGATAACGCAGCTTTTTAACGTAGAATTTTTTTTAATATACGTCCAGTGGTTTTGAGTTATTTCAATAAATACAAAAATCCAGAAAAACAAATCTTTCCTTCTTTTTTTTTATTTTCACAGTTAATTCACATCGTCTGGGGATCATGATTTATTATTACCCATTGAATCTCTCACGCCAATCTAAAAGTAAAGTGCCGTTTACTTGCAAAATGCACGGCGGTATTGTTAGTAGATTTCATCGAAGCGATATCGTGAGAATTCAACGATTAACTGGAAAGGTTCCGTAAAGCGTCGCAAATCGAGAAAGTATGGTAATATAGAAAACACGATTTCGTCGAAAATCTTGCCAACTCGAAATTTATTAATAAACTTATATTGAAACATCTAATGTACAGATATGACATTTATTCTAAGACCCATCGATTTTATTGGGATACTAGCTTTCGCCCGCGACTTCGTCCGCGCGGATTAAAAAAAACAAATGCGAGTAGCCTATGTGTTCTTCCAGACTATCCTCTACATCTGTACCAAATTTCATCGAGATCCCTTCAGCCGTTTAGGCTACAAACTCTAACAAACATCCATCCATCCATCCATCCATCTATCAATCCATCTAAACTTTCGCATTTATAATATTAGTATGATTGTTTGGTAAGAAAACTTATGGTAAATCAGAACACGTTCCTATTATAATTTGGAAAATTTTGAGAGCTTTGTTTCATTTTTGGCAAAACAATCTTTATAAATAAAAATGTAGTGTTACGAGATATTCAAAATGAGTTTGTTTACATGCTACTTAAATTATATAGTGTTGCCAAATAGAAATATAGAATGAGGCTACTAAAATTATTGAATTTGAAAAAGGCCTATTTACCTAATTCCTGAATTTGTTCAAGGATGTTCCATTTAAAATCGTATAAATATGTTTACAAAAATATTTCCTCAATAATTTATAGTAATCATTACATCTGTGCGTAAACTAAAAGTATTTCTACACTAACTGTAAATATTTTCATAACAAAATGTTTTTTTTAAACTAATAATACAATAGCAAGGAAAAAAATAGATTAAAGCAATTGTTTATATGTTTACAAATAATGTAAAAACTTTGAAGATGAATTTTTATCTTACTAATATAATAAATGTGAAAGTTTAGATGGATGGATGGATGAATGGATGTTTGTTAGAGTTTGTAGCCTATACGGCTGAATGGATCTCGATGAAATTTGGCATAGATATAGAGGATAGTCTGGAAGAACACAGGCTATTTGCATTTGTTTTTTTAATCCCGCGCGAACGGAGTCGCGAGCGAAAGCTAGTTAAGCTTTAATTATAAATACTAAAACTGAAATTAAGTAGTAAAAAAAGGTAAACGAAGCTTTCGCGGCAGTTTATCAAAATATAGTTTCTCGTCTTATCTTCGCTGCATACCTTCAGTACTATCTCACATTTAACACTGTACGTGTGGACAACATTTCAGTTGAACTGTACACACTGAACAGTTAGACTGTTCAGTTAAAACTGTCAGTACTGAGCATCTGTACCCCTTAATCTTTATGAACACTTTACATTCTAGTCCAACAGAGCAGTTTATAAAAAGATATAGTTTATTCAAGTAAATAACGCGTGCCGCGGGAACATTCCTGAGATGCTAATACATCGGTGCTATTTACACAGGTGTTAGAAAGAGCTGTGAGAATCTTCAACGATAAACAAATTCACAATCGACGAAGCGAATGAATGAGAGTTCTCGTAGTTATTTCAACACTGGCCTATTCAAACTGAATGCATTTTCAACTAACGTATTCGTAAACCTTCGAAATGTACCACCTTAAGATGTAGGTACAGCTTGCGTTATAAATTAACACAAGCTATAGTGCCCATCTACATTTTACAGCTCGTAATTTCGAAGGCGAAGGCTTGACTATGGCCTAGTCATCCCTTATTAGGGTAGGCTCCGAGCCTCTCGGTGGGGACGTATGTGAGCTAGTGATGATGATGATGATAATGAATTTCGAAGGGCAGACAACATTGTCCATACGGCACCAAAATAAGCTAGCTTACTAACAATCCACCATTTTAAAGCTGTTAGTAGCCCTGGGCAAGATTTTTTCTATTTTTAAAGACTGTATTTCACAGACCAGTGATGCCCCTTTCTGTTCAGCGCCCTGGGCAGTCGCTAACGCTTTACTCTAACGCCTGCATTGCCATAACAGGATTATTCCCAACCGTCACACCGCTCTGTCCCCACGTGAGAATAAAACGTTTCATCCGTCCCACCTTTTAGTCCCACTATCACTAATAATGTAACAGATGGAACCGTTATGAAATAAAATAAGTTCCAACTGGACCTCGTCGCAGAAGGTCGGACGGATGTAACTTTTTATTCTCATCTGTTTCCACGTGGGGACAGAGTGGGGTGACAGTTCGGAATAATCCCCATAACCGCCATAGAGTTCAAACAAAACTATTTTACATGTTTTAAGTCGAAGCCTATATTGTTATTAATAATTATAAATGAAATAAACCAGCGAATTTGTTGAGAATTCTTAAAATAATTGTAACATGTCGGGTTTTTCCAACAAAACGTCACATAGTAAAACATGCCGGATATTCCTAAACCATATTTGTACATGAAAATGAATTATAGAGGAAACAACACTGTTGTTTAATGTATTTGAGAACAATCGGATGATTGTTTTACTAAAAGAACAAGCAGGCACAAGTTTACTTAATTAAGATAAATCTCTTTAACGAAAATCGCATTTAATTTTTTTTTGTCTGTCTGTTGGCCAGCCGGGTTTGTGACGGCTGGACCGATTTAGACCTACTTTTTATCTTAATATTGCGTGGACGAAGTCACGGGCAACAGCTAGTACGTAAATAAATGTACATCCAATTTATATCACTGTACTTCAAACACAAACCAGATACAAATGAAACGCATGCGTTAATCAATCGGCCTAATTCATACTCAACGAGTGATGTTTATTTTTAAATGTCGCCGATGACCACAAGCGTACATATGTGTGTATTCTGTGAAATTGAACGAGACAATTGTTCAATATCGCATAATGCTATTCAAATCAAAACTTTTATAAATTCGTAACGTCATACCTTTCTCAAGTGATCGAGAATGTACGAGCAAATATTGAATATAGAAATGACAAAAGTATGCCTAATTAAGAGACTAACTTTTGATTGCGACTTCGTTCGCGGGAATTAAAAGTTGCAAGTATGTGTTCTTTCAGACTATTTTCTTATCTGTGGCAAATAATAGAGATCCGTAGTCGTTTTTGAAATATGCAATCACAAACATACAACCATCCACTTTATCATTTATAATTTTATATTTACCTCAATTTCAGAATGTTCCGCCACGTACCATACAACCATTTTCCTAATAACACCGATTGTAAATTATTTGAAAAATAAATACAGATAAAGTTGCATAGCCATGCGCAATCACTAGTTTTACAAACGACACAATTTTTACACAATTAAATTTAAAATCAAACACTTCACTGAACAGTCGACACAACAAAGTACAAATTAAAACTAATCAAATATTTGCGGAAAAACCATCAATAAACATAACCAAAAATGTATTTAGCCACAACACTTTACTCTAACATAGTTAGGCGTGAGTGATTCGAATTTCGTGATGTAGGAAATTAGCAAATTCTGGAGCTAACTGTACAGATACGTTCCCGACGACTACTTGTAACAGACTGACGGCGCGGGCGTGCAGCACTGAATTACAATAACAATAGTGAGGGGAAAGAAGCGTTTCCGGCACACTATGGCCTAAGTCATGGCAGTAGAACTGGCGTTTTGATTATGCAGAAACTTTTACAATTAAGATGGAATAACTGTCAACTGTCAAAGAGTATTTCAACGAGATCAAATAACACTAGAGGTGTTAGTGTCACGCTGCATGCGTCTTATCTTCAGCCTTTTTAATTTGCACGTAGCTGGTACAAAATCGAATATTGTCCTAACTACTAGACAGTTACTGGCAAGACAGCATTCATAAGCGCTAAAAGCCTATAGGTTTGCGTATATAGGTTTGTGTACGGATTACCGATCTTGCAGTCAAGTGTTTGAATCCCGCCATTTGACTATCATCGTGAATCATATCCTAGCACAAGCCTAGAGCTTAGTTGGAATGGTTAAAGGGAATATTACTAAATTAACAAAAATCTACTAATATTTTACATGCCTAAAGCTGGCATGTGCCAGTAGTTCACATAAAAATGTGCCGGCTACTTGTAAGTGTATAAATTGACGTCAATATTTTTTATAGTTTTATATAAAATCAGTCATCAGATGCAGATAAAGGCAATATTTATAATAACAATGTATTTACAAAACAGTAAAATTCCTGTCTTTGTGAAGATGTTGAGCTATTTCAGTTCAATTGTTGTTTGTTGTTGTTAATTCGCAGAAACAATGCGGATGAGGCAGAACGAGGAAAGCTTGAACAACCACAAAAGATATAACAATATCAATATTTACCTTAAGGTAAATTCTAATATTTCTATTATTTCTCTAGATCATTTTAACCACTAACGTAAGGGACACATTCCAAAATTAAAAGTACTCTATCGAAATCCCCCGTGCGCCAACCCTACGGGAGTAGAATAAGTTAGGAGAGATC